GTTGATATTTATTATTTTTGATTATTGTACTATTATTTGTTATACATATTATGATTAATTTTAATACACTTTTTTAATTGTAGTTAAATTTTTAATAATATTATTATATTTATATTATAAACAATTGATTTGAATTATAATAGTTTATACTATATTATTTAATATTTTTTATTTAAGTTTTAAAAATAATTTAGTATATTTATAATATATTTATAATATATAAATTTCAATTTGTTAGGTTTAATTATAATTGAATGGTCATTATTAAAAACTGTTGTTATATTCAACTATAATAATATAATATATTTTTTCATTTTTAAATAATATCAAATATATTGTTTTGTTATTGAAAATGTAATAAATATAACATTTTAAATAGTTGTTGTTATTCAAATGAATTTTATAAAAATATTTTGATAAAGATAATTATATGAGTTTTACTTTAAAATGTTATTTGAAAATGTGATCCTTATGCAAAATTTTTGGAAAGTTCAAAATTTTAGAAATTTCGGAAAAAATGCATTGCCGAATTTATAACGGACGTTTTTTGAATCTGTTTGCCGGACTATGGTTATAGTATTAAAAAGTTTACAATTTCATAAATTAATTGTATTTAGTTGGGTGCACAACCGTTGACATAATATTTGCTATTTGCCCGTTTTTTAACACAAAAACATACTTTGCTTTAATTGTTTTTTTACAACTAATCGCGATCTACTAATTCTCGATATCTGAGATTTTATTTAAAAGATCTGCCATAACAACCAAAAAATCAAAGCCAAAAAAACCAAAAAATTGAACAATTTTTTGTTATTATGCACTTTAGTTTTATAAATTACGTTTTTACTTTAAATCTTTAATGCGAAAATTATTTACTTTTTTAATTGTAAACTCAATTTTTGCGCTTTTTTACCACAATAAATAAATGATAATATTTCAACATTTTCTACAATTTCACATTATTTAGATTCACCTTATATTATGACAACAATAATTATTTCCATAATTGTTGACATTTAAAAACAAAAAACAAGCTAAAATTTAAGTAAAATTAGTTTTTCTATATAACGGTACTTGTAAAACTACAACAAAATTACAAATTGAGTTAAAAAGACAATTAAATTAATCTATATCCATTTTTTATTTTAAATTGTATGTATAGACGTTTATTTTTATCATTCACATGATATAAAAAGTGTTAGACAACTTTTTTGTATTTTTCATGATTTTTATTATTTTTCACTAAATGTTTTCAATGATATTAATGAACGTTTTATTTTTGAAGTGATAACCACCAAAACACTTGTTATATTATATTTTATCTACATTATAATATAATATTATCGATAGCAAATAAATAACACCAAATTTATTTACTTAATAATAATTATAAATGTCTCTGTAACTTTCTTCTGTTACAACAATTTGTTGTTTTTGACTCGTTAAAATTATATACAATTCAAATCCCACAAAAAAACAAAACATCAATAGTCTTTTATGGCCGTAAGTTGTTGAAACATACAGAGATGATACAATCTTTCTATTAACATTTTAACAATCAACTATCTTTGTTTTATTATTTAATTTTATTACCATATACAAATTGATCTCTATAAACTAAAACTTATTGTCTTTATTTTTTATTTGCTTGAATAAATAGAATGTCAAAGTCGTCTTTATATACAATAAAATACAAATCACTCATATCGTTTTTTAAAATCAATTTTTAATTCATTCATTTTTGTCTATAGTGTTTATTACTACACTATTCATATTGCATTTTAAACGGTGTCTTAATGTTTTAAGTACCGTTTGTAATTTAATTATTTTGTTGCTTTTATTGTATTTTTCGGTTTTTACAATTTATATGAAAATGAAAAAAACAATGTGTTGTTTATACCAAATTATAATATTTACTGTCAATTATTATCTATTAAGTTATAGAAAAAAATTTCTTTTGTTATCTTATTTTTTTCTATTGTACTAATTTGTCTTATAATAAATACAAAATATCAAAAAAGTTATTTCTGATAATATATATTATCAAATATTATTAGTTTTTATCAACTTTTGAGACAAATAAAAAGTTTATTTACTTTTAATCAAATAATGTTCACATGTTTTAATATTCGGACAAATTTAACATTTTTTGCTCATTATTATGAATTAATTGGTAAAATTCAATAACATTTATTCTGAAACAACAAATATGTTTTTATACATAAAACAATAAAAAAACAATTGGTTCTGAGTTGAAAATGAAATACAAATCGAAAAGTAACATGAACACTTTGCTGATAATTGATATAAACAATATAAAATTCATGTACATACAATAGTCTTTATAAAATATGAACTTTTCAAGGAATTAATTATATTAATTGTATTTTTTAGACATTACGACGTAGCAAAT